CCCAGAAACATCCCACAAGAGAAGGTACTTTCACTGTGGAAGTGCTGGCACCCCCTGTCCCAGGTGAGTACTGAGGGAAGCAAACACTAGCAAAATCATTTTTTGCTGACAGGTCATGGTCTGGGCGATCAAGAATTTCTTTTATTCATCTCACCCTGTGAATTATTTAAGAGGACTTTGTACATGTGATACCACTGTCACACAAGCTGTTAACTTAATCCCACTGTGATGAGACAGCACCCAGTGCCAGGCACAGCATGGCCACCATCTGTCCCCAGTGACGACTCTGGGCACTTGCACCCTGACCTCTGAGGGGATCCAACGAGCCAGGAACAGCTGCTGCCAAGTGTTGCATCAACCTCACCATACAAGTGAACAACAAAGTGCTGAAAAACACTTTTTTCCCCTCGGAACAGCAAAACTTCCTTACCATGTAAAACTGCAGTTAAGCTTTATTGAGTGATTTGTTCTGACAGAGTTTACAGCCTTTGCGAGCTCCCCCCAGTTATGTCCTAGCCAAGGGCTGAAGGGCATGCAGGGCCTGATTTTTCAAAGATGTCTGGGATGAAGGAGAGGAAGCAGTGGCTCTCCACAGAATATCCCAAACAGCATTCCACTCATTTAAATGCAAATCAGGTAATAATACACTTAAAATCCCACTTCATTTGAAAGTCCTATTTTTGTGTCTGCATAATGCATGTCCTAAAACTGAATTCACAGAGCTCCTAATTAAAAACTGAAGGGCTGTTTTTTTAAATACTGTTCTCTATAAAATCACATTCTCACCTCTTTGACACATTGAAACTCAGCTTAACTGTTTCATAAATGCATTGAAACCTTACCAAATCACAAGATACTCCATACTGTTAATAACACAGCAGAAAAAGCTCAAATTAAACCTGCACTTTCTGAATATTAGACAATATTGTCTGCCTACACGAGTTTGAAGCAGCACAGAGTTTCTCTGTCAAGCTTTGCTACTGATTTTTTGCATGGATCCCAGCATGCAAGGAGCTCTGCTCCTCCACTCTTCCCCTCCCACTAAGCCCACGTAGGGTGGGCAGCACAGCTGTGTGCCAGAAGGGCAGAGCCACAGCACTCCCTCCTCTCAGTCTGCCTAGAAAATATACACAGCTCTCTGGTAGACTTTACATCCCAGCTCACATCTGCAGCTTTCCCAGCCAGGCACTCCTGGGATAGGACCAGTTATTTATTTCCCCAGTCTCATGCCAGATTTTAAGGTAGGAGTCAAGCCTTTCTCATCTTCCTAGCCTTTTTAAGTAAGACCAGACAATTTTTTTGTTGTTTTTTCTGTTCCTAAATCTGCAGGATATTGTGAGACTCCACAGCAGCCTCAGTATTTAAAGATGGTTTCAGGTGCTCCAGATGACAGTAGAAACATGACACTTCACCTGGATGTTACATCAAGATTGAGAAAGTAGAAGGTAAAGAACTCTATTTGCCCTGGCCTTATGTTGATCTCACACTTTGAAGCAGAGCTGACTGATGATTCCTGGAGGATGTTACCACCTGTGTAAAGGAATAATCAGTTAAACCTACTTTTCTCCCTGTATATCAATATTTGAACTGAACAGCTAATTTAACTTAATTAGAACAACTTTAGTTTGATCTCCTAAATGACTAATATATGACTTACAATAATTATCTATGAGCAAACCATTGCATTTCTTAAAACAGTTCTGTTTCATGGCACAAACATCACATCCCATCCACACTATCACCAGTCTCCTTTAGCAGCCATGAATGCTGGACACTCACACTTTGTAAACTTCTGGAGTGGTCTGCGTAAAACTTTTTAGCCCTGACACATCATTGTGTTCACCTTGCTGATGGACACCACACCTATCTATAAATCCCAACCCTGGTAAAATTAAAATTTAAGAAAACCCAAATAAATTTCATTACTTCTAAATTAACCTCACTTGCCCCTTTCCATGTGTAAAACATAAGCTCTAGTTCTGATTAATTACTTCTGACCTTCATCAGGTAATAGAGCAGAGAGGTCCATATCACTGATATATGAGAGGGTGCTCAAAGATGCCACAAAAGATGTGTGAAAGGAAAGGAAACCAGAACAATTTCTAATTTCCCTGTGGTGCTTTAGATTTAACTCACAGCTGTTTGGGCTGCCTATTTGGAGTTGCCAACTATTTCTGTGGCCATGGGTCGTGGAGCACTCCTAGCACTTGAGGACTCAGTTTTGGGTTTATTTTCCCCAAACACAAACAACTGCTCATCACAAGCAGCAGACTGTGAAGGTCAGAATGTGCCAAGGACTCAGACACAGAGAAGGGTGCCAGACATGTTATGTGTCAGAGGTGAGCAGACAGTGCTGCTGGGGGTGGTGGCACTTTCAAACTTCTGGTCCTGGCCTGTGTCAGTGATGCACCCTGGCATCAGCAGGTGGAGTAACTTTTAGAATAGCCTGAAATTGCAGAGGCACCTTAGCATGTGGCTCTGCCCACACTGTGGTACCTGCTCCAGCTGGCATTAACCAGGATTTCGACCTGCAGTCTCAGCAGATACTGAGAGCTGAACGGAACAAAAGTCAAAACTAACTTTCCACCCTTTCAAATCCTCATTTTTAAGCACTCTAATATCTAATATCAGTTCAAAAGACTTATTATTGTCTTCTAAAAAGTAATGTTAACTCACAGAGTGGATAAATATTATGCAATATATTCCATTAATTTTCTGTTGTGGTTTTGTAACTCAGCCAGCCACCTGATGCACAGATTATTGGTCCCATCATATGGAATGAATACTATGCAAATATCCCTCTTCACTCTGCTCTGGGCTGCATTATAATGACCATGCCATGCCAGTCTGGGCATGAGTAATTTGCTCACTTTTCTTTTTATCAGTTTGGAATCAGGATAATGATATTAATGCTAAGGATAAGATTACATTAGATAAGGAGTCATGCTGCCATGCTGCCAGCAGTGTGGGTTTTACTCAGGAATTCGTGCTACCTAATGCTTTGAGCAGGAGGTACAGCAAGCACTGGCACACATCAGACACCCATATTGAGTCCAGAATGCTGAACAGGTATTTCTACTTGGAAGAATAATAGTTGGAGCTGGGGAAATCTATTAGAGCAGAATTAGAGAGCAATATTTACCTGCACTGACTAGTAGCCTATAAAATACTGTTTTAATGTAGTGCATGTTTAATGCTTGATGTAAGCGTGCTTCAGTTTTAAATGCTCTCCCAAACTCCCAGTGTCCCTTTCAGACAGACTAACCCAGCCAGCAACTTGCAGGGCCCTTGCACTGAAAATCCAGCAGTGGAAACAAGCTGGGAGGGCATCTGGAAGGTATCTGCTGCTGAAACCTGGCCACATCTTCTCTTGAGCTGTGACAAACTGCCTGGTGGATTCCGGAGAGCTTCTTCCTGCCTTTCACTAACACTTCATACAAAAGTTAATCTACCTAATGGGCTGAGAACAGCTGAAATCCATGTGTTTGGTGTGGCTTTGCTGTGGCTGTGTTCTCAGGTTCGGGCAGGAAAAATAAGTAGATCTCTGTTAGTGATTTGGTTCAAAAAATGCCAGAGCCCCACAATACTGGGTGTCTTTTTATCTGAGTTTTTGCAAATTCAAATAAGAAAATCATTCCAGGAAAGGAATCAGCAAGGAATTGAAAAAGACACCTGATATGAATATATGATTAAAAGTCTAATTGAGCCATTGAGGGGGAAAGAGGATTGCTGTTTGAAATAACAAAGGAGTGGTGCAAAAGTTGACAAGAGCTCTCTGAAATGACAGGCGGAATAGGAGCAGCAGAGAAATGCTCGGAACCTTGTTTTCTGTGACTCTTCCTCACTTGGGTACTAATGAAGTCCTAAACTTATGAGAACGGTCAGTGCCTATCCAAGTTCATCTGTGGCATCTTGTTCTCATGCCTGTTTACCAACACAAATCTTTACTCAGGAGGAAAAATATGGGTATGAGTGTGGCCATCCGAAGAGAGACTCTTTGTACTCTGGAAAAGGCAATGAGGAACCTGAACCCCACAAAACCAGAGAGCCATTTGGCTCCTGAGTCTGCCAATAGTTTACTTGTACAAAGTACCTTTTTACTGGGGATTGATGGCAGGAAATGTAAACTCCAAAGGCTAGTGGAAACCTGGGAAATTCCAGAGGTTAAAGCCAGAAACTTTTATTAATGTGGTGATGCTAGGAAAGGAAGTGAGTTTAAACATAATTTCTGAACTAAAAGAATCTTATCACAAAGCCACAGTAGGGAAATGTGAGTTTGCTAATTTGGCTTCTTTTTTTTCTTCCCTTCCTCTGAGAGCTGCTAGTGTTGGCACTGGTTACCTGCCTTACCCAGGCAAGGCCTTCTGTGATGATGAGATTTGCAATCCACCTTGAGCAGGCAACTGGAAAGATGATCAGATTAGCAGTTTCTTATAAAAATACACATAAATAACAACTCTCACCATCTAATATTATCCCACCTGACAAGAAAAGGGGGTTGTGATTAAAACTTCTAAGAATAGAAACAAGTTTGGGCTGGTTTCTGTTCTCATGAGGGTCTGCTCAGGGACTGAAGCAAGGAGAAGGAAGTTAGCCTGGCGGGGACGAAAGTTGGCCATACCCACACACTGCACTTCAGTAGTTTTCCAACACTCTGTAAAGCTTACTTCAGTGGCTTTCCTCTGCCTGTGATGATGGAACAGGTATTTTTGCAGTTTTGGTTTTAAAAAGAAACAACCTGCACAAATTAACAAAGACAGTGCATTGGAGCAAAAATCTCAATCTGGGCACACCCTCTCATCAGGAAGGGTAAATAAACAGCTTTTCTCTATTTTCAGCTCTCATTCTTCACATTCAAACTCCACCCATAGTACCAGTCACCCCCAAAAGAATCACCAGGTCTTCTGGCAGATGTATAAAACCAGAACAAGTCAGGACACTATCACATAGTGTGCTATACATCACCAGGTGCTCAACATTATCAAAGAGAGGACTTTCAACAGGTGTCAAGAAGCCACAATGTCGGGTAAAAGCTTCCAGGGACTGAAGGAACAAGCTGAAGGTGCAGCAAAAGATGCTGGTAAGAAAGATTAAATATTGTTCTATATTTGGAGGGGGGCTTAGTTGCTAAATACTACAATTTTTAGCTGCATCAGTGATAGAAGGACACAGCTTTCTCTTTTATCTTCACTTTGCAAATTTTGGCCATCACCTGGAGAAGACCACAGGCCAGCTGTGGCTCTCAAAGCTGCCTCAACCCACTCACCCACTTCTCCCTCTGTGGCTCCTGAGCATTGTCAAACTCTTATCACTCTCCAAAATGTTAATATTTTTAGAGCAGTGAAGCCTTTTTTTTGGTGATAACAACCTTCTACATTTAGCATTTACGTTGCTCATGGTGGTTTTTTCTCATGCTCTGAGGTGATTTTTAATCAGCTCTCCTTTAAGTAAGTTGGAATTAAGCTTTGATGAACATTTGCCACTTGGCCTGTCAATGTCTTCTGTTAATATAACTACATTGATTGCAATGGATAGTTTGTAATATATAGGACGTGTTTCTGTTGTGTTCTTCAGTAGTAATCACCAGGCTGCACATTGCTGTCATAGCAATGCCCATGTTTTAAGGCTGAGCACTGTTGTCATAAGCATTGGGCACTGGAAAACAGCTTTTCAATGCAAAGCATAAAAGCTTTTCCTTCAAATGAAAAGCTGCAAAATGTGTATAGCTTATAGTAGCTTTTTATAGTATATCCCTTACCCAGTTTGCCTGCAGCTCTTTCCAGCATATAATTTGGTCAGATATGGTTCTGGATTCTGATTCTGCAAACAATTCCTTGTGTGTGTATATATATATATATATATTTCTATATATATCTACACTTCCTTTATATATATACTCATATATATAATATATGAGTAATATCATTGATTATATTAAAGTTACAGTTTCATACACCTGGGGACAAATGTGTAGTAGCTGCACAAACATGACAGAACCACTTTCTAAAAAACAAAATAGTCTTTGCTGCATCCTGAGTTCCTGATATTCCTGCCACTGAGGGGGCACTTTGCTGCTTTGTAAACCATCAGCTATCTTACATTCACAAGGTATCTCACTTTTTTAATGTTTCATATTCTGGAGTTGATCTGTGATGTCTCTAGTTTCTGCTCCTCTTCTTCTATTCATATCTTGTTTGTAAAAATCTCCCTTCTTCTGTCCAGCTCTGTTTAAGGCACTTTCTTCCATTTTAGAATAGGCCCTACTCCCAAACAGCCCATAGCGAAAATGCACATTAGATGGCCAACCTACCCCAAGCATAATAAGGCAGAAAAATCAATAAAAGCAAGTGTAGTGTTAAATAAGCAACTTGCAGCTAAATGTCATCATTCCAACTCACTGCTAATCTTTTCTTATCTCCTGCTTATCTGCCATTGATTTGCTCAGCTGACCATAGGTGCCAGGTGAGTGCTAATCTCAAAGCAAGCTGCTGTGGCAGCACACAGTGCCCAGGGTGCCCTGTGAAGGGCACAGCCTCAGCCTGCTCTGTACCAGCCCAGGGCTTGCCAGGGACACAGCCTGCTGCAGGCGTGCAGAAAGCCGACTGATGTACGGAATTCCTGTAACCAGAAAAGCGAACAGCTGGAAAGGATTTTGATTTTGTTTTACCTTAATTACAGCAAACACATTGGGACAGGCCACTCAGGATGCAGTCAACCAGATTACAGATGCAAGCCAGAAAGGTAGGAGCAATGACGTTCAAATTAAGATGGAGCAGCTCAACACAAGCCAGAAGCGGCCAGTGCTCATTCTCCTCTGTTCCACGGGTGTTCTCAGCCTGAAAGTCCTTGGTTTCAGTGACCACTTTGTATAACCTTTAATATTTTATAACAACTTTAACGTTTTTATAACAACCTTTATAAATCTTACAAAAGGATTTCAGGATTTGTTGCTGGGTAGCTCCACACAGCTACTGCACAGGCAGACTGTAGCTGACACTCCCTGGCCATCGAGTCTCAAGCACAGCGTTCAGACATTGGCTTCCTATTTAGGAAACTTGTGGGTACAGCTCTTCTTTCAAGAGCATTAAGTAACCCTATGTTACATCTTGCTCCCCCCACCCTGTCCCTGAGGGCAGGGGTCTGTCCAGGTCCAGCCCTACACTGGATCCCAGCAGCTGCTGGGGCAGCGGCTGGGGTTGAACATTGCAGATCCTGCAGGTGAAAAGCTGCTGTCTAGAAAGTGTTGGCATCTTGAAGCTGGAGACTGGGACCAAGCTAAACTAAAAACTAGGCTGATTCTTTTTATTTTTAATGATTTAATAATATTCAAGTATGAGGGGAGAATTAGCAATGTTGGGGTCTAAAATATTTCATGAAAGCTAAAATGCAATGGCAGTATCCCCTAAAAGCCGACACCTTCCACAGCTCCATGGATGTAACAAGAAGGGCAGGCTTGGGCACCTGTTGATGTTAGATGGAGAAGCAACAAAATGTCCAAAACCTTTTTTTCCAGATATATCACTTTTTTTTTGTAGTCTAGTCATTTTAACACCTTTCTTCTATCATAAGTACTAAATCATGTTGCATTTTTCCAACTTTCTGCTTATCTTTTTCCCTCTCTTGCAGCTTTTGACAAGGCTTCCAAGACAGCACAAGATGGAGTAGAAAAGGTGGCTGGACAGGCTGCAGAAGCAATGTCTGGCTTTGGGAAAAAATGTGGATTTAAAAAATGATGCTAATTCAAGTCAACTGTACTGCTTGTACAAATCTCTTTGGTCTGCTATTAGCTACTTCTTTGTGTAGAAAAATGAAAGCTGTTTGATATCTGGATAATTTTGTTCTTTTCAAATACAAATTTTTAAGGCAGAAGGTCCCCCTCATCCTTTACATAGAAAAATTACATCTTTTAGCACCATTGCTCACAATTGTCAACATGGCTCAAAAGGTTTCAGCAGTGCTGTTCCCCTGCTCTTACAACAGCTCAGTGATTATTGCCACATTTGCTGAGTCTATTTACAAAGCCAGTGAAACTGTTCATAATTAGGACACCAGAATAGTCATGTGATGAAACTGAGTCTTCTTCCAATAATCAAAACTTAAGCTGTGGTTATATGTCTTGTCAGTTGTTTGTTTGTTCCCATCCTCTGCATTTTTAGATAAAGATAAATAAAGGTATGTAAGATTTCTACTACTCAGATCGTCTTGTTATTTAATCTCGTTATTTTGCTGGGGCTTTCATTGAAGGATCACACAGTGTCTTGCTAAACTCTTTTGCTCTCTGATGCAAAGCCCTGTGAGGTCACTGTAAGAAGGGGAGTACTGAGCCCTTCTGCAGTCTGGCAGACGGATGGAAACCAACAGCCCCACACTGCAGAGGAGCCCTGTGGTGTCTGTGGGTGAACGGAGTAGTGGTGTCCATCCCTTCTTCTTTCTCCTACACGTCTGGTGCCCATCTAAACGTCTTGTTTCCATTATCCACTGCACATCTGTTGAATCTGCTGGGGGCAAATCCCGGCGTCTTTACCCCAGCGCTCGCTTGGGGCGCTGCTGCCGAAGCCGAATGGCAGCAGAGGTGCGAGAGATGCCGGAGGGTGCTCTGCTCTCGCTCCAGCCACGCCTGAGCTGAGGTTTGTGTGCAGCTTGTGTGGCTGCTCCGAGGCAGCCCCGGCCAGCCATGGCCTGTGCAGGGACGGAGCCGTTGCCACACAGGCAAGAGGGCAATCTTCTTGCCTAGGAGATGGAAATATTTATTTGAGATTGCTGCTTGCTGGGCAATCAGAGGCTGTGCAGCCAGACAGAATGCCCTCTTAGTGCTGCCTCTGTCAACAGAAGGCACTAATACCCACTTATTCACAGTAAGTGCTCTTATCTGGCCTCTGGGTGTTTCTCATTGCTAGGCAATATTTCTTTTCTTTTTTTTCCTTTTTTTTTTTCCCTCTCTTGCTTTGAAGCCTTACCAGCCTGTTACAGTAGGAATCTAATTTGTGTCTTGCAAAAGAAAACCAAAGCATGACCAAAACCATCTGGCTGCAATGAAACAGGGCAGTCCAGGCCTGTCTGAGGTATCAGTCCTGCACTTCTTGACCAAGAGCTGTGGTTGTCCAGGGCTTTTTTGGAAGCCAATCTTTGTGAATTTGGTCCAAGGAGAGCCTGGCTCATTGTTGAACCCAAAGACCACCCTTGTCTGCAATCTGCACAAGGACTTCATGAACAGAAAAGCCTTTACAGGACTTTATAAGTAATAGACCATCTGTGAGTAAATATAGTCCAGGGCTCTGCACAGTGCCCCTATGCAACGGCTTCTGTAATTTAAAGCTTTAAAAGCCTAAATATTTACCCAAGTACAAGCTCACAGAAAAAGCATTAGACTATTACACTCTCAGTTACTGGGCAACCCCCAATAGTACTTTATTATTTAGTACTTTTCATGGTTACGTCCCTAATGGTGAAATCTTTGGAGACTGAGCTCTTTAGGCTCAGCATTTCAGAAACCAATGCTGTGTTTGTGTATGATCATGACCCATACACCACTCTCCATCACACTTTTTTTTTTTGCCTGAAAATCACTTAAATATTACCAAAAAATTTGTACTTGCAGGTATTTTCACCAGTAAAGCCTGTTGTCCCCTTGCATGACACACTATTCCTCCTGCTTTGTTCATGGGGAACACAGCCCTGACTCCTTGTGTGCAGTTTGATACCCCTTTATTCCAGTTGTCTTCAGTAAAACTACACAGTTGTCAGTTCCCACTGCTCTGGCCCAGTGTTGGCAGCAGTGCTGTCAGGGTAGGGACTGGACAGCCTGGCTGGAGGGACTACTGGAGGTCACCCACTGAGTTGAGAGAGTAGAAATCACCTTATCCATCCAGCCAGGGGGCACCCCGAGGCAGTTCCTGACTCCTGGTCCCCAGTGCAGGGATGCCCTTGTTGCTTCAGGAGCCTGATCGGAGTATTTCACATCTCTTTTGTCCTGAGGGTGCACGCTGTGCCATGGGCACCCGTGAGTCTGAGTCACTTGCTGGCAAGTGTTTCCAGGTCTAAACTTAAGCACTTTGCACCACAAGTAAGGTGCCTTAGTCACAGTGCTCTTTGGTCTGGAAGTATTTGGGGCGCTCTCTTGCTCATGCATCACACAGGGACCCATGACCCAGCCCAGGACTGCATCTTCGCATCCCAACTGAAGCCTTCAGATGTTCTGTAAAAGTAAAGCAGACATCCCTAGAGCTCTTAGCAGCTCCTGTGCCATCAGCCCCAGACACGTGAAGTTATCTAACACTGGAGTTCTCAAACTTCCCTATACTTGGTGCTGGGCGTGCCTGCAGCTGCCTAAGCTGTGAAATGCTGAGCAAAGGGGATTTGTGTTTCAGCCTGGCTGGGCTGCTAAGCCCAAGCACCTCTGCTCCATGTCCCACTCCAATGACCCAGAGACTTTCCCAGAGTGGCTGAGAGGCAAACAGCCCTCCCCATCTCCTCTTCACAGCTCAACAGGCCAGGGGCATCAGGGGCGGGCACAGATTTTACCAGATTTTTATCCTCCTCATGGGTGAATACTGTGATTAATGGTCTAAAGATTATCAAGAATCCAAGCTCTCTGAAACCTGTCTTTGCAGCTGTAGTTTCCTGTCATGTGGCAAAGTAATACCAGGAAACCTGGAGATGAATAAACTGTTGGTGTGTTGGATGCTGTAGCCCATGTGCCACTGGGATGTCCTGGAGTTGGAGCTGCGGTGCAGGCTGCACACTCTGCCTGGGTTATGCCATTTCACCAGGCCTCAAACAATGTCAGGTGGCCCCACTCAGGCTCTCTCCTCCCCAAAGGGGAGCAGCAGCAGAGGGCAGCAATAGGACATGTGGCAAACTGGGCCCCTCTTGGCACCACCTCCCAGGTAACGATGATTGCTGGATTAGCAATGTTGGAGAGGATATCCCAGCCACTCCTTGAAGTCTCTGGTTATGAACAATGTTGTCTAGCTCCCTTTTGGGGCTATCAGCACTGTCTGCCCCCAAGGCCCCTGGCAGCAGTGGGGTTTCCTGCCTACAGGACAAGTTGCCTTTCATGTCCTTTCACATTTGAAGTTCATTTCCCACCGATCACACAGATGAACCCTTCATCAAAACCCCATGAGGTTTGGCAAATAAGGGCCTTACTCCAAAACCTCCTGTGCTTGGGCTGGGGCTGCCTAGCGGTGCTGGCTGCAGGCTGGGGAGGCTTTAAAGGAGCTGTGAGAGGATTCCCAGGGGAGCTGCTGACCACAGACATGGTGGGCAGGTAGGACCCGGGCACGCTTGGCGGCTGCGAGGTTGGGCGAGTGTTGCTGTTGTGGGGGCTGTGCTTGAGGCCGAGGGATGAGGGCCCTGCCGCCCGTGCCCGTGGCGAAGGTGCTGGGCTTCGTCTCTGCTCCACAGCTCGGTGTGTCTGCCCGTGCGGGATGGTGGCTGAGCTCAGGCAGTGTTTGTGCCTCGGCAGCTCCAGCCCCCGCGTACGGCCGGCCCCGGCATGGCCGGCCCCGGGCTGGGCGCGGCTCGGCGCGGCCGGGAGGGAGCGAGGCCAGGCCGGGCCGGGCCGGGCCGGGCACTGCCGCCCGCAGGACGAGCCCTGCACACAGGGCCCCGCTCTCGGCAGCCCCCGCGCAGGAACCAGCCGAACTCCTCGGGACGTGCTGGGGACGGAGAGGGGCCCAGCAGGGCAGAAGTAGCGGCTGTGGTGCAGGGGCTCCATTACAGGAGCTGGAGTTGGGGATTGCAGTTAGCGAGACTGCTGCTGCGATGGCAGAAACCGTGACAATGAGTGCAAGCTAACGTCAGTCTAAATGCATACGTGCTCAGGCCTGGTGTGTGCAGGGAACTGCACCTCCTCATGGTTTCCCATGGCTTTGGTCTATGTGTAGTGAGAGAAAATAGGTTCTTTTTGTATTTGAAAAGTGCGGTGTATTTTAATGCTGTGTGTTTTCACTCTGTAAGGCAAACTTCACCTTTACCTGTGTGTAGGGAGTGTTGTGATGGCACATACTCTCTCCTCTCCCATGTTACAATTCAATATGTACCTGGAGTGCATTGGTGTAATGTAATTAGGGTTGGTGCTGTAATTTTATTTCTGTGCTGATGTTCACTGGAAAGCCAGTGCTGATGCTGTACCAGTCCACACTTGTGGAAGTTGCTCATGAGCTAAGGTGATTTTAAAAAAATAAAGCTGTATTTGTGGTACTGGAGTGTTTGTGAGTGGGAACCATTCTTCAGTTTGGAATTAGGATAGGATGAGGAGGGGTACTCTCAGTGATAATATAAACGCACCTCGGCAAATACATAAACCTGTTGCTGACTCCGAGTCTTGCTCTTCACATGTCTCTGCTATCAGTAACTGGAGCAGCAGCAGAACAGGACTAGGAAATTGCAATTTCCTGTGAACAAGGCTGGCTGTGAGTAGTTGAGGATGTCACTGGGAACAGTGTGTACATTTTACTGCTTGTCTGCTGTGCAAAGAATTTCCACTGGTCAGATGCTGGTCTGAGTTATCTGAAATATTTCTGAGCTTGTTTCTTTTTCTTGCATTGCAGGTCTGTTTTGAACTTTGTCAACAACCTTAATATTGTTAGTAACAATATTGTTACTTTCCCTCTGTTTTTGGGGGTTTTTTTTGTGAGCATATTCTGATAGAATTTGCTTTCAGATATGGAGAATAATCCTTTCCCTGCTGTCAGAAGACAAGAGGGGAAAGGGAACCCCCTCTCTACCCTCAGAACTCTATATCCTATTTAATTGATATAAAATAGGACTTTGTGGTCTGTAAAAAAA